AAAATCATACAAAAAAGTATACAAAGAACATTGAAAAACAATCAAAAAACAATCAAAAAATAAACATGGACACCGCTAAACAATTAAGTTTAGACATGAATGAATGAACACTGTACACACATACTCTCATATACACATAAACAAAAAAACACACACACTTACACACAAAGTCACACACAGAAAGAAACACACACGCGTACACACACACACACATTGAATCAATAAAAGTTATGCTGTTTCTACTTAAGCAAATGCCTGTTTGTGTTAAAATCAGTGTTTTTCATTTATATTTAAATATTTTATTTTGTTGTTGTTGTAGGTCTGTTGTGTGTTTGTGATGTTGTGTGTTTGTGATGTTGTATAGTTGTGCGTGCGTGCTTTCATATCTAAGGTGAAGTTGATTGTGTAGCATTTGATTCAGCTGATCTTCCACGTTCCTATCACACACATGATGGTCAGCGTTACAACTCTTTCAAGCATGCCTGATGCAAACAGTTACAAATTCACCGTCCTCATTCTTAACGACTCACACGTGACATCATAATCTCACTCGCTGTCACTATTAGTCGTCATCAACAAACTCCTTTTTTTAGTCATCATCAAATTGATCATCATCATCAGCGTCATCAACATCATTGCCATCACTTTTCATCCTTGGACGCTTGTCTCATGTTGATATTTGACCTTGACCTCCTCAACATCGTGGCCAACTTGACGGTCAACGTATCTTTTCCACCACCTCCGCCATTCGAGCCCTGGTCATCTCGGTCTTTCTTCTTCCTTTTCTTCTGAGGTTTTCGGTCGTCATCAGTGGCGTGTCCGTTGTTGTCCGAGTCCTCGCTGCCAGAACTGGGCAGTGGTGTGGCGCGCATGATCAGCTCGTTCACCATGCTGATGTCTGCTTCCAGGTCATCCCTGTTGCTCAGAATGCAGGGGTCCTTGCCAATCTTGTTCAGTCTGTTGGCGAGTAAAGTGAGATTTTTTGTGTTAGTGTGCGTGCGTGTGTGTGTTTTGAATATTTTCAATTTTGTTTCAAAATGTTTTTGCAATTATTCTTAAGTTTTTAAAAATGTCTTTTTTTGGCAGTTACAGTTACAATAAAATATTTGAATTTAGCGCTTGCTCTGCCAAGCGGCAGTTTTGTTGAATATTTTAAGACAAAAGCTTGCCTTATAGATCATTTCAAAGTATTGGTTATATGATGTTTTAGATGAAAACTGTCAAAAAGAAGATGGAACCTTTCAGCAGCGACACTCTCCATAGTCCTCCTCATAAGCGGGTACCTCTCGAGCACGTTGTCGAAATGTTCAACCGACAGTGAGAACAAGTTGCAGTAGGCTTCTGCCCTCACGCTCGCTGTCCTCTTCGTCTTCGCCAGCAAACAAATTTCTGGTCGTGTGAAAGATGCGCAGTAACAATAACGACAATAGAATTGTCAGATCACGTGTCAACAGGAAAAAAGAGTTTGAAGATTGTGTTAAAAATTGTTACAGAACTTGCAAAATTTAAATCGTCATCAAATTTTTGCTTCAACTTACTAATACTTATTTTATAACACCCTCATCACCACCCTCACTCTCCCCATCCCCCCACCTCCGAAGTATGAGCCATCCGAGAGGGAGGTGGCAACTTCTCCGTTCTGCGTGATGATGTCGACGATGCCTTCCTGGATGAAGTAGACTTTCGTGCCGACGCTGCCCTCCCTGATGATGTAGTCCCCCGGCTGGAACATCTCGTGCCGCAAGTTCGTCACGATGTCGGACACGAAGTTTGGATCGGCGTGGGTAAAGAAGGGGACTGATGCCACCAGGGCTCGACAGTTGAAGTTTATTATTTCCTAGGAAAATGGTGAAGAAGATGATGATGGAAACGATGAAGAAGATGATGGTGAAGAAGATGGTGAGGGAAATGACGGCGACGATGATGGAAAAATGATGACGACAAACACCGTTAAAATATTTAGAAAATTAAAATTTGAGCTTCGAGCAAACATTCTAAAAGTCAAGCGACGAGTGAAACATCCTTCATGTGCTGATGTTCAATGTTTTTTGATAAACAAACACGAACGAACTTGAACGAACAAGAAGTGAACAAACTAACACAAACAGCAAACATATAAATGGAAGGGCAAACAGGCAAACACGACGTACACATCCATTTTGATGTTGGATGCACTTTGTAAATTGAAAATAAATTTTGTTAGAAGCCTTAGAATTTAGTCGCGAATGAAGTTTAAAAAATTTTGAAAGCACAAACTTAAACATAAAAAGGAAGGTAAGCAAGTAAGCATGCCCGCAGTGAACAGCAAACATTCACCTAATGCACATTTTAAACGAATGCACGAATAATGCACAAGTACACATACATTCATATACTTAGAGCATACACACACACCACATACACACACACTCCACACACACACTGTTTCTCCCACACATACACACAGACTACTGAATTTGTGTGTTACAATATCGTGACGTATCTGTATTAATCTAATGAATAAAAAGAAATAAATTGATGAATGTATTGCGCACAAACACACATACAAATGGGCGGACACACAAACACACACACGAACACGACCATTCACATATTTGTTGTTTTTCTAGGAAGTGCATAGATATTTGGAAGAATTGTGTCAATTTATATGATCATATGCATGAATGTGTGATTGTGTGATTGTGTGTGTGTGTGTGTTGGAGAGAGAGAGAGAGAGTCTGTGGTCTGTGTGTGTGTGTGTGCGCTTGCAAATGTACGTGTGAGTGTTTTGATATTTCTCAAAGGAAATCTGGATCTAATCTGCGAGATTTTTCATCTCGTTAAAAATTAAATTATTTTTTCATTATAAACCCTGATGGAAGCCATCTCAATATTTTAGCCTTTTCAAGTAGACACAAATTCCAATTACCAAATAAAAACCATTATGAAATATTGAAAAACCGTTATAAAATAAAAAATGAAGAACCGATAAAATGAAAATTGAAAATAAAAGATTGAAAAGTGCGATAGAAAGTGAAGATTGGAATGAAAAGAAGAAGGCAGACTAGGGCGGGCCGTAACACATTTCTGCATGAATTAGCATAACACGAAAGAAATGTTTAACGTGGACTCATGAAGCTCGCCTGAAAGCAACAAAATCAATAGCTGCACAGACTTCCACACAAAAACATGAAGAAAGAAACATAAAAAGCCAACAAGAGAAGAAAACACCAAAAACACTAAAAACAAAACTGATAAAAACAAAAAATTAACAAATTCATATCAAAAAACAAAAAAAAACAAAGAAATTAAAAGCCAAACATAAAACAAATAAACGTAACGAAGCAAAAAATGGCAAAGGAAGAGAGGAACTTGCATGCAGAACAGAAGAAATACAAGGTGCATACGCAGGCAGGCAGAGCAGAAAATACAAAACGCATGACGGCATGTCATGACGTCGGAATAGTACGGAAATGTTTGCGGACGTTGAAGACACAATTACATTGAATCAATGGAGTGCGCTTGCATATGACAAGGGCGTTTACACTGCCTCTCTCTGCATGCTTCTGTTTGCCAGCTCGCCCGCTCGCTTTTGTCTACTTTGTGTAATATAAAAAGATATGAAAATCATAATTAATTTTCGTAGGAGCTCGTGTTTGTTTAAACTTGTATGTAACCAATCAATTAACCAATCGATGCACCAACCACACGTAAAAATGAAACCAACCAAATAAATAATTTTTTCAATTCTATCAACTAACCCACAAAGAGCCAACCAAATCATACTTACAAGTGACTAACCAGTAAACCATTCAACTAAGCAACCAGTATCTCAATTTGTTCAAACATCCAACCAGCCAGCCAACCAAACAATCATACAACCAACCAACCTCTCTTAAGCACTCGTTGACTTCAGCTAGAATGCTCTGTTCATCGAACATCTTGCCCTGGTACCTGTGTTCGTAGTAATCTGTGATTCTCTGACGCAACTTGCGGGGTAGCTTTCGGTAGATCATGTACTCTTCAACTTGTTTGAACTTCGTAGTGATGGCGAGAAGATGACGATGATTATAATAAAAATGATGATGATGATTTTGTAACAATGATGAGGCGAAAGATAAATGTTATAAAAATGATGAAGAAATAATAGAGACAGCTGGTAAATCAAACGAAGCTGGTAAAGATGTTGATGAAAATGATAATAATTTTAAAAATGAGTTCGTCACAGCTGTTATGCGATAAGACATTATCATCAATCACGCCATGCCACTTTGCCATCATATCTTCATTCATCGTCATCGTCACCATCATATCTTCATCCAGCATCATCGTCAATGTCACCATCACATCCCCACACTCACCTTCTCTCTGTAGAGTCTTCTCGACGTGTCAAACGACTGAATGAGCGTGGTTGAGTGACCGACGAACAGTGCGTAACAAGTGGCTCCCGTCAACATGCTGACGGTGGTTAGCCACACGTCTGTGGTCGATTGTGGCGGGTACCTGCCGTAGCCGATGCAGAGCATGTGGGAGAGGGCTTTGAAGAGGGCCCACGTGTACTGCTCGGTCCAGTGCGCGCTCTGGCAAACATGGTCCCATTAAAAATTTATTTGTTAAAAAGACTTTTTTGTAAAAAAAAAACTAATTGTGACAATGTATATGAAAATTTTGAGAAGTGAAAATGAAAGATGATGATAAAAATGTTCTTGACATGTATTTGATTAAATGATGATGCGGAACGATGATGGAAACGACGGTGTAGTGATGCGTATAATGATGACATTTCTACTCACAATGTATAAGCGCTGATGAGAATGAAAATGACGGTAATGATGAATTGAAAACATAGTAGAGTAAAAATGAGCGGGTTGATTGTATGGACAATTTCCTAAAAAGGTAATTGAAACGAAAAGCTTATAACATTGTTCAACAAACTAGCTCTCAGAGACAACAGCAATGCCATCATAGACTAAGAAAACCCTTTAAATAAAAACATTCCAGCAATTTGATAACCTTTCAGATCAGAAGATTGCCGGGTCTTTTAAACTCAGTTATCAAACAATATATCCAATTGAAATGTACCTCATTCAACACATAATGCAATAAATCAATCAGCCAACCAATTAAAATCACCAAACCATTCAATTGAATCAGCAATCAGCCAATGAGAAACATGCATCCATCTGACCGGAGAGCCATCAAATAGATATAAATGTAGGAAATACAATAAGGGAGGGTAAGGACGGAGACAACATAAACCGCAAATAGAATTCAAAAAGCACATCTCCATAAACTCGCTCTTATTTTTAACGTTCTTTCTTTTCAATAGTAATAATAATGTAAAGAATAAATACATATTTAGGCATCAATTGCATCAATATTCGTGTGTATGTTTGTTTCGTTCTATGTGTGCGTGTTCATATTTCTTAGAAAGTGTGTTTTTGTCTTATGGGTTCATTTGTGGTGACATTGCTATGTACGTTTGTAAGAGAGTGTGTTTGTGTGTGTATGTATGTTTGTGTGTGTATGTTTGTATTTGTGTGTGTGTGTCTGTATTGCATGTGAAGAATAACAATGAATTAAGCTCTCGTGCAAATGTCTCGTACATTTGTGAACATTCAAAATCATTGTATGTGTTTTGGTTTGCATATTTGTATGTATGAAACATTTGTATGTAGTAGGCTAAACATATTTTGTATATGCTCACAAATAAAAATGCTTCTTTAAAGAAACTTGTTTGTATGTAGTACAAATGCTTCTATGTATATATAAATTACACATGTGCAAATCTACATATTTGTATTTAAAGGAATATATTGTATATAGCGGTATATATATGTCTTAGTTTATACATACGTAGAGGTAAAAATTTATGTATTAGGAGCATGTCTGATGTTTATTGGATGCTGTGTTGCTTTTGAAGGAATTACATTAGAATTACTTTATGAATTGTGTGTGTGTGTTTGTATGTACGTGTATATATATGCACGTATATTTGTATGTGCATGATGGTACTTGTGTATAAGTGTACGTATATATTTTCTGTACGTGCGTACTGCATATACGCTTAAATGTACTTATACAAAGTTCTTATCGACATTTGTACAAATTTCAAACACTTTATGTGTGTGTGTGTGTGTGTGTGTGTGTGTGTGTGTGCGTGCGTGTATCTATATCTGCAATTATTTATTCAAGTTGAAAAATTATCGTGATGTTTCGACATAGCGGACAAAACTTGACATATATTGGCGTGATTTCACTGGCTGGCGATAAATTGAGGTCACATCATGGCGTGCATTAGTGGTTGCCATGGTTCTTTCTAACGTTCATATACGCAAACACATCATCATCTATGGTTGCGTGTACGTGTTTATGTGTGTACGTGAACGTTTGCATGCGTACGTGTGAGTGTGTTTATGCATGTGAAAGTGTGTGTCTGTCTGTTTGTTTGAAGGCGCGTTCAATTTTGTAGGCTATCTAATTTCAGCATCATCGAGCACTTCATCATCTGCGTCCTTCTTCTGTCTTCTCTCTTCCTCTTCTTCATCGTCATCATCATCATTGTCATCGTCATCATCAGTCTTGACATCTTTAACTTTTTTTCACCTATTTTTTCTTCAACTTCTCATCATCATCACCATCGTCGTCGTCGTCATCACAACTGTCATCATAATTATCATCGTAAATTAAATCCAGTCTTTATTTTCCTCATTTGCACAAATACTTACTCTGAAAGGTCTCCTGAGACATGCTATGGCACATTTGAAGATGGGCGAATTCGAGTATTCGCCTAATTACTTCGGTATAATTTCGAAAATACCCGATACGATATCAAACAAAATCTTAATGGATGGCTGGATGATAAATGACTAACGTTTGCTTCATTTCGCTTATTTTTGTACGTCTTTATGAAATGAATGTCTTCGTTAACGCCTGTGTTATTATGTATGTGTCTATGCGATGCAATATGCATGTGTATGTACGTACCTATATGTATGTGTGTATATGTACGCATGTGTGTGTTAGTATGCATGTGCCTGTGTGAGAGTGTGTGTTAGTATGCATGTGCCTTTGTATGTGTGTGTGTGTTGGCATGTT